TTCGCGTTGTTGCACACTAAAATAATACAGACTTCGCTTGACTAGTAAAACTTTGATAAACTTTAATTCTTGTATCTTTATAAATGGATTTAATGGGAAAACTATTGATTAGTTTTCTCATGTGATAATTAAGGTTATGACTCAGCAACAACATGCGATATAATGACAGTGTTCTCAATATGATGACACGTTTAAACATATCATAATCGAATCAAAACAAATTATTAAAGCAACAGAATTAAAGTATCAAATATGATAAATCGGACACGTTAAAAAAATGTTAATGTTAAAATACTAAAACGTATTGAGTACTTGAATAGTTAATACAGGGTATCTTGCGATATGTTCTAAATCAATTGATCAACTGTATTAAATAATAATAAGCCTATCGTGCATAAAGCTTAAAAAATAATTAATCGCTTATCTTAGTGCAACGCAAGTACACTACAATACAATAACCCTCCGTTCGGTCAGTTGGTAATCATTTTAGATAATGCTTGTGAAAGTTTCAACATTAGCTGTACTATTAAACGTCAAGGTAACTATGAACTATATCTAAATTCTAATAAGAAACATGTTCTACAATATTTAACTTCGAAAATAATAATAATAACGAATGTATTAAAGCTTTTTATAAACATTAATTTCATGCTACATCAAGTGTTAAAGAACACAAAATAATAGCTTTAAAGTCAGCGAATGCTTCACTAAACAAACAGCATAATCATACAGTAGAAAGCTAACCCTCCGTTTATACCACGATATATAACGCCTGAGATTAGGTTCCTTTAATCAATTAACTAATTCCATGGTTTTTAATTGTATGTGAATACAATTAAACAAGTTAACAATTTAGTATCAAAAGAAATATAAACTTTCTACAGTATTTAGAGCAGTTTACTCCTAATCATATCAGTATAAAACCATAAAACATCACTGTGAAGCACCGATTATACATTCACATGGCAGTAACATTATTGCCATTATATTGTCATTATTCATGTTAAAATACATTAAACGATCATAAAGAAATCATGATTAAATGAACTAAGTTAAATTATCATAAAATCTGTGGTTACTGTACTCTAGCTATAGTCCAGCATTCCAGAGACAGCACCCATGAACAGGGTCATTGTGACCTTGCATGGTAAACTAATCATCTACAATAAATCTTGGCATGTTGGCACTTAAAACAAAGCACTGGGCTATTCAATGAAAAGTAAACTATTATTTCTTTAAAATAAAGCATGATTAATACAAGTTAAAACATAAAAATATATGACAACTGGTGTCTTAAGATGTAACACATTGGATAAAGGATTATGACATACCTGTATAAATGGATTTAAAGTGAAACTCTTGATTAGTTTTCTCAGATGATAATGAAGGTTATGACTCAGCAACAACATGTGATAGAATGACAGTGTTGCTACTGGTGATGGGACAGGAAGTGTCAGATGAGGGGTGGGGAAGACAGTGGGCGGTATATAACAACTTTAAGAGTATTACACCATCCCCGATTTCAAAATGTTGCCCCCAACATGTTCTTTAATTATAAGGTAATACTATAGTTAGGTTAGGTAACAATAATTCAATATACATAGCTGCTATGGTGCTATGAAGGCTGGACGGCTTGTGTGATAGGTTGCGAGCTAGGAGTCGGTATAAATGCGGGTGCTGTCGCTCGGAGTTGATACGTTGTGGCAGTATGTATTTCATCACTATCACTCTCGTCACTATTTGGTTGGGTGTACGTTTTCTTTTTTTCTTTTAGACCTTCGTATCTGACGCCTTTTTTGCAGTTTGGTGATGCTTTAAGTGTGGTTGCTTTGGTTCCGGTTCTGATTCAATGGTTAGGTGGTTACAGGGAAGTAGCATATTTCGATGAAGTATGCGACATTTTCCCCCGTTCTCCGGTCGCAATTCATAAACTGGAAGCTCATTTGAAATCTTCCTTATCACCACATGAATCTGCTGCTCCCATCTGTCTGCTAATTTGTGTTTCCCATGAAAGGCCACTTTCTTCACTAAAACAAGATCCCCATCCTCAAGGGTATTTTCTCTTGCAGATTGGTCAAAGTGTTCCTTAGTTTTGGCCGCCGCTTTCTTTGCCTTAGCTGACGCCTTGCTATATGCGTACGTTAATCTTTTTCGAAGATCAGAAACATATGTAGCGTGGTTTGCCTCGGAAACACTGTATGGTGTGAGACCTAGACATACGTCAACTAGCAATCTTGGGTTGCGTCCAAACATTAAAAGATACGGTGAATAACCTGTTGAACTCTGTTTCGTGCAGTTGCGTTCGTTAGTGCGTATGCATGCGTTAGTGGGCCAACAAAATCTTTCCAATGCGCTTTCTTTTCCACAGGAAGTGTTCCAAGCATATCCAGTAAAGTTCTGTTGTATCGCTCGCATAATCCGTTCCCTGCTGGATGGTAGGGTGTGGTACGACTTTTTGTGATGGATAACAGCTTACAAAGTTCTAGGATAACGGCACTCTCGAAGTTTCGCCCTTGGTCTGAATGCAGACGAGTAGGAGTACCGTAGTGGATAAACAAATTATCGAATAATGCTTTTGCTGTCGTTTTAGCTGTCTGATTTCGAGTGGGAACAGTAACTGCATACTTTGAGAAGTGGTCGGTAATTACGAGTACATTCTTGATCCCGCCGGAAGATGGTTCAAGCGTCAAGTAGTCGATGCATACAAGTTCCATTGGTTCGTGTCTGACAATTGAAACCAAAGGTGCTACCAGGTGGGCCTCTGGCGGTACTTTGCGACGAGTACATCGCTCACACCTTTTTACTCTGTCGGCTACATCAGATGCCATATTGGGCCAATAAAATCGACATCTGGCAAGTTCAAGAGTCCTGTCTCTTCCTGGATGTCCGACTTCGTCGTGTATACCAGCCATTGCCCGTTCTCGATAATTTTCCGGAACTACTAACTGGTAATTGGTTTCACCATCTTGTTGCCTGACACGATGAAGAGTTTTCTCCTTGATTTATAGTCGGTCCCATTCCCGCAATAGCATCACCACTTTAGGTGCCATCTGCTTCCTGTCTTTGTGAGATGGTCGCTGTCCCACCATTTTCAAAATTATTATGGCAGTGATAATGGGATCTTCTTCCTGTAGACGACGCCACTCTTTCATTGCTACTTTCGGGAATGTCTCTGAGCCAGGCCAATGCACTGGATTTAGTAGTGTTTCCGGAATGGCATCTGACGATGTACTTGTTGACTCAACAATGGGAAAGCAAAATGTGTGAGACTGGCAAATTGCTTTAATTACCTCAGGGGTAAGGGTTGACTGCTCATTCTCGGTTACTTCCTCGTCTGGACGCCTAGAGAGGCCATCCTCATCTCGATTCCCTGTTCCTGGACGATATGACACGGTGAAATCGTAAGTGGACAGTACAGCCAACCACCTATGACCAACCGCATCAAGTTTCGCAGCAGTGGCTACATGTTAGTGGATTATTGTCCGTTCTGACTTCAAACCTTCTGCCGTATAAATACTCGTGAAATGTATTAGTTACTGCCCATTTCAGCGCCAAGTACCCTAATTTATGCGCAGGGTACCTCTTTTCGTTCCCGCTTAAGCCCCTGCTTGCAAATGCGATTACTCGTTCTTTGCCTCCATGTACAGCGCTGCCCCGAGACCGTCTCCACTGGTATCAGTATTTAGAATAAATGGTTGGCTGAAGTCGGCGTATGCTAATATGGGTGGTTCACCAAGCTTCGATCTTAGAGATGTAAATGCCTCCTGACACTGTGGTGTCCAATCCCATGTAGGCATCCTGTCACGGTATTTTCCTTTTGTTTTCTTGGTTTGCGGACCTACAGTTAAAGCATGCAAGGGCTTCGCAATCTTGGAGAAGTCCCACACAAACCTGCTATAATATCCGGCGAATCCTAGAAATGATCGCAATTCTGTGACGTTTGTGGGTACAGGCCATGTACGGATTGCCTCTGTTTTGTCTGGATCTGTTGACACGCCTTCGGACGAGATTACGTGACCCAAGTAATTTACATGTTGACGGAGGAGGTGGCACTTGCTGGGCTTTAACTTTAGGCCGTATTCTTTGAGTCGTTTTAAAACAGCAGACAACCTTTCAAGATTTTCCGCGAACGAAGATGAGTACACTAGGCATTGCTTTAAATTAAGATCCCCCATACACCTTTCCATCATTCGTTGGAATGTCGCCGGGGCATTGGTCAGGCCGAAGGGCATTCGATTGCACTCATAAAACCACAGTGGTGTGGTGAATGCTGTCTTTGCTTTGTCAGCTTCCTCCATTACTATCTGCCAATACCCCGACTTCAAGTCCAACGAGGAGAACCACTTGGCTCCGTGAAGAGCGTCCAGGGTTTCTTCGATTCTGGGCAATAGAAAATTGTCCTTAATTGTCTTGCGGTTTAATAGTCGATAGTCAATACATAAACGAAGAGAGTCCTTTTTCCGAACAAGTACAATTGG